TGAGCGTATCCTGTTCCACCAATGACAAGCGTCACAAACACGCGCAAAGGCAAATCAATAGTTCACCTGAAAAACACACGGTTACATATCGTTAAGTCCAAATACATCACTTTTGTCAATGATGCGTCAAATTTGGAGAAGTATTCTACATGTCTACCACAAAACATTTGTGAGGTGAGGTGAGGTGAAGTTGGGTTTAACGTCGCGTCCAAGATTATTGCACTTATATAGCGACGTGCATGCACGTGTATGTGTGTGTGTGGCTGCTTGTACTAGTCCGGACTGATGCCGATTTATAGTGCTAGCTCACTGAGATACCATGCCGCAGTTTAACATGAATACCCCACTCAGACACAGTATACTGACTCCGAGCCGACCAGTCCTTGTTTTAGCCCCTTAATGCCGAGCGCCAGACAGGGTAACAACAAGTACAATCTTTTAACGTCTTTTTGTATGACGCGGCCCAGGATCGAACCCTGGACCTTCCGCTCTCCGGGCGGACGCTCTACCACAAGACCACGGAGACGGTCCACAAAACATTTGTAGAGCATGCCCGATTGAGCCTCAAAGATTGTTAAATGTTTTTGGTTTGGTCTGTTGTTTAACGCCGCACTCAGCAATATTCCAGCTATATGACGGCGGTCTGTAAATAATCGAGTCTTGACCAGACAATCCAGTGATTGACATCATGAGCATGGATCCACGCAATTGGGATCGATGACATGTCTCAACCAAGTCAGCGCGCCTGACCACCCGATCCCGTTAGTCGCCTTTTACGACAAGCATAGTCGCCTTTTACGGGAAGTATGTGTTGCTGAAGACCTTTTCTACCCCGGAATCTTCACGCGTCTTGTGAAATGTAGACAAGGGCTGGAGCTGCAGGGATGATGCTCGACAACTAGGGAAAGTTGACTATTTTAAAGACGAAGTCATCCCTCTTGTCAGTCTTCTGGAGAGTGTTTTGTCACTATGAATCTTAGGAGGGCCTCCGTGGTAGAGCGGAAGGTCCGGGGTTCGATCCCTGGCAAGAGTCACACCAAAGTACGTTAAAAGATGGTACTTGTTACCTGGCATGGCCTGGCCTGGCATGACCTGCTTGACTATGTTGACTTTTCCATCACAAGGTATAAACATTCCTATTCATCACCTTCAAATAATGCCAGGATTTGTTTAATTTTTTGCTTTTAAAAGAAATAGAATTGTTTGACATTTGTTATTGAAATGTTTTGTAACAAAATATATATCGTTTTAACTGAGATTGTTAGTGTGTGTGTGTCCTCGAGAAGGGGGGGGGGGTACTGTATAATTATTGTCCTCCTTTAAGTTCCTCAACATTTTAAGAAGATACAGACCTATCTCATTTATTATCGTAGTATACTTACCAGCGCCAGCAGCTGAAGGGATGGTGTTGATCCTGCTGCTGATATGATGTAGGTTGCAGAAGTACTGTAAGTCTCCATGGTCCCGAGTATGGTGGCCATGATCTATAGCTAGTTTTTTATTTTATTGTGATGTATAGTGCCTTTTTATATGCATACGTTTTTGATATTTTTCTGTGATAGTCTAATGATTTTACTGTCCCTGGTTAACAGGCTTTTATAAAGTCAAAACGTGTTTCTTATGTATAACTTTTCATTGTCACAATGGCTGAAATGTTACTTACAATTTTAACTCACTCAGTCACTTTTTAAAGGATCCCAATGTTATTAGAATTGTTATCATATACAGATTAAGAATAAAAATGCAACAGGTTTGGGTGAAGTTTGGGGAATCCTGGCGCAGTCAGGCTGGTTAGGCTAATCATCAGCTCAGGGACCTTGTCACCTCTACATGCAGCCCAGACAGCGAATGGGACTTCTCCCAGGAAGATCTGCCTTGTTGAACCCAAACCAGAACATTTCGGGACAAGTTAAGACTCCCCAACACTGCATCCTTCTGTATTACCCAGAAGGGCTGTATTCCTGGCAGCAAACCCGGGTACTCCCCCATAGTCAGATAGGAGGTACCAAAACTAAGGCACCGAGAACAACTTGGTACTTGGGATGCAAGCATGACATTTCATTTATATTTGCATATGCCATGTCTTTCCTGAATCTTGTCTATGATTTCATTGGATTTATCAGAAAGGACAATGTCATGCCTATTCCAAAGAATTATATAATTGTCATGTTAGCAGATATATATTTGCCGCGTCGTGAAGACAACAGAGGAATAATGGAATCATAGCGTGAACGCCTCAATTGACAATGGAATCATAGCGTGAACGCCTCCATTGATAATGGAATCATAGCGTGAACGCCTCCATTGACAATGGAATCATAGCGTGAACGCCTCCATTGACAGTGGTATCATAGCGTGAACGCCTCCATTAACAATGAGGTATTCAATTTGTAACAATGGAACAATGAACGTGTCACCTATGGAATGCAATTAGTGAACAATGGTATAATAGACACGTCGCCTGAGGCATTCGATACCATAACAATGGAACAATAGACGTTCTTAAGCGTGTCGGACACTTGACCTTAACCTTGTACTTAATAACCTGACCTTGACCTCATTGAGCTCAGCCGATCAGAGTTATTACTACCATGACGTGCACATCACCATGTACTTAATAACCTGTCCTTGACCTGACCTTACGCGACCTGTTCGTCCACGTACGTAAACGGTATTTCTTGTATATTGTACAGTGAAAACACTTTGTTCCCTCAACACATTTCAGTCACCAATGTCTTCTGTCACACTCAGTGAACACTAATTGAACCATCGTCAGAGATATGTAGGTTACAGCCTTGTGAGAGTGAAATGTTATTTTGTTTAAAATATTATCCGAACAAACTACATATGTATGTTTTAGGTTTCAATATAATGTCTCTTTTCATTATGTATATATAATTCATTTATGGTATAGAAATGTATCATCACAGACTGCTGCTTTTCAGAGGCATGTAATCAATGTATGTCAGACTAGAAGTTTCTTGACTGGGCGTCACGATAACATGGTTTGAATCTCGCGCCTGACCACCATACAGGATCAAGTCTTTTCAATAGGCAATTGTCAGACGGACACTAACCGAGGAGTCGTCACGACTACATCTACTGAAAATATATACCTACAGACCATATGAATGATGTACTGCTTGAACAAACATCCTTACAATTCTAACTATGTATGACAGACTAGACGTTTCATGACATAGAAAATCCGTATCACAAAAACAAAACAAAAAATATTATTCAGCTTCAAAATATTAGAAGGTTGTATTATTTCAGCTGAAAAACTACTCGTTTAACAAATACCAAGAATAACTTTCAGTGAAATAACGTAGTTTCAAGAAGTTTTATACCACATCATTCCACGTGAAAAAATATAGTAGAGTTGGCTTGGCCTTTGACAATATGCCTTTAATGTTGCAATAAATGGGGTCATGAGTTGGGCATCACCCACTGTTGGAGAGTGGACAAGCATTGCAAGACATTGGTGTCGCCTGACATGCCTGACAGATTAAATACTTTTGTTTTAAGATTGAGAATATCAAGTGTGCTTAAAAAGATTGTATGTATGGAAATTGAAAGAAATTGACATGAACGATAATGTACTAAATTAACAAAGTTTATGTGTGGAGTAGCTCCTTCTGGGATAGCAACTTGACGTTATGAAAGCGTACCGGTGGATAACAGAAATGTTTTCATTGTTTATCCGATGTCGAAGACGAGGTGCATGTGTACTTTAATGTTGAACCGAAGGAGGTATGTGATATACATGAGGAAAGTTGAATATAATTGCTTTGAATTATTTATTTGACATCTCATAATTTCTTTTGTCTCTCAGAATGTATATAATGAATTGCTCAGTACGTTTAATATATATGTAAATGTAACAAATGAAACAAGTATGTTGTATAGAAATGAGACATAAATAAACAACTGTCTGTCTATCTGTTCATTTTCATGTGGTTTCGCTGAGATAGACATTAATCACTAATCATGCCAGGTGCACTTGAAACTGAAACCTATACTACTATCAAAGGAATGAATAATCAAGTAAAACAAACCCTTTCCATGTTCATAAGAAATCTCTGATTAAAGCAGAATCAATTGTACGATTCGGACTGTTTCATAAGCATGTGTTAATGAATCACTATCAACATAACAATACAAATTTGTGTATTGAAACACAAAGGTATATATTATGAAACTGCATAGTGGTCACGTGCATTTCTGTGAAAGCTTTTAACAGCTCCAAATTTCCTTCAAACGTATGTGGTTGCAAAATGGTTATGTTGATATATTGTTCAAGCCCTCAAGACGCATATATGCAAAATGCAGCAGTGCTACCAGAACAATCGGTTACCTTAGTTTGATGACATATAACCTTTATTGTCTGAATATATGTTAACAGGTTGGTTGGTTTGTTGTTTAACGCCGCACTCAGCAATATTCCAGCTATATGACGGCGGTCTGTAAATAATCGAGTCTGGACCAGACAATCCATTGATTAATATCATGAGCATCGATTCACGCAATTGGGATCAATGACATGCATCAACCAAGTCAGCGAGCCTGACCACCCGATCCCGATAGTTGACTTTTACGACAAGCATAGTCGCCTTTTACAGCAGGCATGGGTTGCTGAAGACCTATTCTACCCCGGATCTTCACGGGTAATGTTAACAGGATGAGATGTTAAATATACAAATATGTTGTTAAGCATGTGTGGCATGATCCGCATGCATTTCACTAGAATGAGGAGCCCTGCTTCAGGCTAAGAACTGGCCCTTAGCAACGTATGCGTCTGGAACGAAGCCACTCATTTGACTGGATGATACCAACTAGGTGGATCATTTGACTGGATAATACCAACTAGGTGGATCATTTGACTGGATCATACCAACTAGGTAGATCATTTGACTGGATCATACCAACTAGGTGTCTTCGTTGATTGCTTGACATCATATCCCGTCGTTTCAAGAATTTACACATAATATCAATTATTGTTTTGTCTGGCCAATACTTTATTTTGTACAGAGGACGGTCACAAAGCTGTAAAATTGCTGAATGCGGCTTTAAAACAACAGACACAACTATAACTAGAGTTAACATGATGGGTGTATATCCCCGAATGTTCCTTCGTCCACTTCAAAAGATGTTCTCTTCAGTGATGTTCCCTGGCACGCATTTGTTCGCGGGAGATGCTCTCTGTACCATGTTGACATGGGATTTCCTGGCAGAAATAAATCAGATATGAAGGTCAATATTCAAAGTATACAAAATAAGCACTGACAAACAGTTCATCCAAATCGTGCATCGAAGCAGGTAATAATTGATGTGAGATGAAATACAGTAAATACATTGATCTTACATCTGTCCACGTGTGGTAAGCCAAGACCCCTGCACCATTGTAAGAAACCGATCCTTTGTTATTTGGTAGGAGTGGGGGAATATCGAGACAAAATAGTCTAAGACTATTAAGATCAATTAAGTTTTTTGTTTTGTTTTGTTTGTTGTTTAACGCCGCACTCAGCAATATTCCAGCTATATGACGGCGGTCTGTAAATAATCGAGTCTGGACCAGACAAGCCAGTGATTGACAGCATGAACATCGATCCACGCAATTGGGATCAATGACATGTATCAACCAAGTCAGCGAGCCTGACCACCCGATCCCGTTAGTCGCCTTTTACGACAAGCATAGTCGCCTTTTACGGTAAGTATGGGTTGCTGAAGACCTATTCTACCCCGGAATTTTCACGGGTCGATCAATTAAGTAATTGTCTACCACAAAAAATACATTGTTGCAATGTGTTATTAACCAAAACATGTTAAGACTCAAAACTATAGCTGACATGTACAGTATCTAGTATCCATACAAATTCCCAGCCAAAACATCAAGCTGAGGAATACTCCAGAAAATATATCCTACCATGCTTCTTTCTTGCAGACATAGATTGGTATCGGTTGTGGCATTCCATTAAAAGATCCGTCTTTGTTTATCGACATTGGGTAAGCGCCCACATTCTCCACAAACAATGTGTCTCCAATTTCAAGCTCTGGTAAGTAACACTCCTCGAAGAGAGAGTCGTCACCAGCACAGGTCTGTCCCCAGACACTGGACTTGAAAGTCTCCTCGCTGCGCGGGTCCTGGAACAGAAATACGGAGGACTTAGGTGACCAGGTACTTCCATGTATTTGCCAGTTTTGGTGATTTATTATGTCATGTTTCGCTTTCACAAAAAGTATGTTTCTCAATATAATATATACGTAAGACATTTCATTAATATCCATAACAATTGGGAAACGTTGACCGAGCGTGTGTTCGTATATTTAATACCATATGTTAGTCATAGTCATAGCAACACATTGTGGGAGCTGTGTTTAAGAGAGTTTTAATGCTCGGTTCTTGCTTAGGCTTTAGGAAACACATTGCCTTGCAGGAATAAGGGGAAAAACACGTCCTCGTTGTTTCCGTTCAGAATGACATTTTTCTGTCTTCAAAAGGTATTTTGTGCATTTCATTGCATTCATGATTAATTCGTCCGTTTTGTGAATCATTACTTATTAAAAATGGTTCCAAATAGTGTGGTACAGACGTTAAATCCTACCTTTAGCAGTGATGGTAATTCGGCCCTGCTGCATCTTTTGAAGGTATGGTTGAAGGTCCCAAAGATGCTGTCGTTCACAAAGTATAGGTACTCGTCTTCACCTTCTTTCCTACCTGAAGATAGACAGTGATTGATGTATGACAGCTGTTTTCACGCCTTTGTTTCCAAATTTGATGCATCAGTGTCCAAGAACCTATTTAAATTTCCCGTTTGCTCAGATGAAATTTGACTTGCATTTGCATGTGTTGGGAATTTTGTAAGTTAAGCCACAATTATGGCGGGAGATTCGAGAAATGGGCATCTGATGCTTTTAGAAAAGGTTTTGTCGCTCGTATTATCGTACACTGATCAGATTTGGTTAGTTTGTTGTTTAACGCCGCACTCAGCAATAGTCTAGCTATATGGCGGCGGTCTGTAAATAATCGAGTCTGGACCAGACAATCCAGTGATTGATATCATGAGCATCGATCCACGCAATTGGGATCGATGACCGTACATCAACCAAGTCAGCGAGCCTGACCACCCGATCCCGTTAGTCGCCTTTTGCGACAAGCATAGTCGCCTTTTATGGCACGCATGGGTTGCTGAAGACCTATTCTACCCAGGATCTTCACGGGTAGTACACTGATCAGATGTGCGAGAGAGGAACTTAATGCTTATCTCAGGAGGGGAAAAACATATTTATCAGTCATTTTCTATTTCCTCTTGTAAAAAGACATTCCAAAATTGTGTTTGCAGCCATGTTATTTACAAATGGTGAAGCCTTGATGCACAGAACATAGAGTTATAACACTCGAAATAGTTTCGTCACTGAAATTCGGAAACCAAAACAAAATCAAAGCAATTGGGTTTTATTCTCCCTAACTTCAACTTCTTAACCATTTTAAACCTGGTATCAGCACTATTTGATAGTGATTCATAAACACATGCTCATGATATAGTCGTACAATCCATGATTTCCTGGAGAGGTCATGGTCAAATGTGAAGGTTAACGTGTTCTTGATACATGCCATCATCAAGGAACCTGTTTGTTTGTTTGTCTTTAACGCCGCACTGAGCAATATTCCAGCTGTATCACAGCGGTCTGTAAATAATATACTGATTTGACATCATGAGTATCAATTCACGCAGTTGGGATACGATGACATGTATCAACCAAGTCAGCGAGCCTGACCGGCCGATCCCTTTAGTCGCCCCTTACGAGAAGATAATGATCCAGTTACACTATGATATTGGAGAACAGCTGTGCATTACACAAAGATCAACTGCATCGAGAATGGGTAGAGCACATTTAGATATGTTTGGTTGATGAAAACAATGTCCCAGTTCATAGAATCATATTTACGGTTAACTGACAAAAAAATGGACTAATCCGCCTTGGACAAATCCAGATAATACCGTGATACCATTACTGCAGCCATTACTCCAGAGCCAGGTAAATACCAACCGATAGATATTCCTTTATGCAAATTCTAAAGGAACTTGTTTACTCTGCATCTCACCACTCAAGCCACCCCCTTTAGTTTAATTATGTTACATAGTGTAGAACGAACCACGCCTGATCCTCTTTCCTATAACTGTTATGACCAAGGTCGCACACGAAGTCACAAAGAAGCGGCCAGGCTCTGCAATGATCCTAACTCCTCTCTCATCAGGAAAGTATTCATCAAGGGCGTCGTTGAGGTGTCTTGCAACCTACACACACCAAAAAACACAAGCTTACCACCCACCAATTATTCTTTGTTTCAGAAGTTGTTTGATCAAGGTTACACATTCAAGGTCTCAGTAAAGCTTTCAAAATGTTTTATGATAGACATGTGGATGACATTTCCAAATTTGATGCAATTCCCTATTTTGACTTGAACCATATGTATGGATGGATGGTTTGTTGTTTTACGCCGCACTCAGCAATATTCCAGCTATATGACGGCGGTCTGTAAATATTCGAGTCTGGACCAGACAATCCAGTGATTAATATCATGAGCATCAATCCACGCATTTGGGATCGATTACATGCATCAACCAAGTCAGCGAACCCGACCACCCGATCCCGTTAGTCGCCTTTAACGACAAGCATAGTCACCTTTTACGGCAAGCATGGGTTGCCGAAGACCTATTCTACCCCGGAATCTTCACGGGTCTGAACCATATGTACCCGTGTTTGTGCAGGTGGACAATTGACTTGCCTTTTCATGCGCTTGAGACGGGTGCCATCGGTACGGCAGGATACGCTCACCTTTTCACGTGGTATCATCACTATTTGGTAATGGTTCATAAACACATGCTCATGAAATGGTCGGAATCGTACTGTCGACTCTGCTTTATGCAGGGATTTCTGTTGGATGTGGGTTTTGTCGCTTAATTTATTACAGTGTATTATTTTATGTGTGTTGTCAGCGCATTAGTCGTGGTTCTTGGTTCTTGGGCTTCCCATGACAAACACTCACAAAACTCTTCCAACTGAGTGAAACCCGTATGAAACAGCTATGAACACAGTCCAAAGAGTTGAACAGGCATTGTTAGTTTGACATTGCATTATACTTGCTCTTGTTGAAATGATGATCTGTTCAGAACACTATTGTATTTTTGTAAAAAGAATATACGTTTCAAAACACTGAAAGGAATCAAGGACACTATGTTTTCATCGATCTGTGCCTGCATGCAATCTGATATTACCTCTTCAAATTCCGCCGGTGGTGTCTTGTGCCCATAAAACCCTCCTCCAATATCCACCACACTCAGAGACATGTTGAGTTCAGAGGCTATTTTGAACACCCTGTCGGTTCTCTGTAGAGCATCAATGAAGACTCTGCCATCCACTATGCCACTTCCAACATGGAAACTGTCAGATGCATACAATGGAATATGCTTAGATTTATCATCTATACGCAACGGATTTGAAACTTATATAGTAACAAGTTTGTCATTTCGCAAATCATGTCAGAACAACTGGAAATTATTGGCAACTCAAATCAAGCGATTTTAAAGTTTAACATAAGCTTTAAATTTTGAGTTTTGGGGATAAACTTGAAAAAATGAGAAAATATTCGAAATAACGAGAAAAAACTCGTACATTCAAGAAAATAAGTGAAGATAGTAAATCCAATTTCTTTTCTTTTTAAACAATGATGAAATAATCAATATCACTAAAAAATAATTTAAGTAACGAGAAACATATCGAAATTTCGAGAAAACAATTGAAATAACGAAAAAAAATATTTCGAATATTTGAACATGTCCTAGTAACAAGAAAAAGATCAAAGCAACGAGAAAATATTTAAAGAAAACATTTCTAAACAACGAGTTTTGAGATAAAATAACGAGAAAATATTTGCAGTAACGAGAAAACGCTCGTAGTTTTGAGAAAATCATTGAAGTTACGAGAACATTATTGAAGCAGCGAGAACAAATTCGAAATTTCGGTTTTTTTAAGTAAACTTGAAATAACGAGAAAATTATCGAAATTATGTCAAACGTTCTGTTACACGTAATATGTTTTGTATGTTGAGGCATGCCATATGATTTCTTCAGTCCTGGAGATTTGTTTTTCTCAATGCAAACTATGCAAGGTACATGTACTCCGTGTACCTCGGCCGCCATGTTCTTTGTTCTTAGATTATGGCTTACCACAGTGTGAGTTTCTTCAGCTTTGAATATTCATATTCATTCCAATTGCTTAACTTCTTTCCTTTTTGGCATTGTTCGCATTGAGGCCAGTTCGGCATGCACGTTGTGATTATGTTAACGTTAATTTATATTATTAGGTTAATTATGTTCAGTGTTACGTGTATTTATAACCTTGGCATTATTTCGGCTTGTATGTAGAAGTATAAGTACACTCAGGTACCTTGCATCGTCTAATATATGTCTAATTACTACAATCTTAGCAACATCCAGAATAGAAACATGGTTTCATCCTGGCAGATATTTGTCTAAATGCTACAGGCCTTTATTGATTGGTTCCTGTGAAGCACCTTTTGTGACTCAGGCCACAATCGAACTGGCACAACAAAGTGGCATCCGAAAACGTTAACCCCCATTGGCTAGCCCGACCCGGGTTCTGAATTAGACTGAATGAATGTATCAACCTTTGGAACGGAAAGTACCTGACTCCCACCACATTCAGTCGCATGTTCTTGGCTTTCCCAAGAAGATACCGGACTTCATTCTGTTCGCATCCATACTGGACGCTCAGGTGGTGTTCCACTTCATATTTGTCCGAACTCTGGATTCTCAGCAGTAATCTTAATGTGTACAAAATGAACAAAACACATCAATAGCAGTCAATCCATATACCTCATGAACAAGTTACTTGTTTGGACAGTGAACTGGTGCACTCACTAGTTTAACTCCACAATAGGAACCGGTTTGTGCAGGAATGCGGAAAAGCTGCAATAAAGGGTAATTAGGAGATAAACCTACTGTGTTTTGAAATTTGATGTAGTCCCACTGTAGAATAGATACCTCTTTATTATAATTTTGAACCGAGCGATTTCACACACTCGTTCTCTCGATGATCATTCGTGACCAACTCGTGTTATTCCGGGACAAGCCGAATAGCGACCCTTGCCCCTCTCGTGGCCATTTTTGTGACTGGTTTCCGTCTAAGCAAATTGGCATAGGTAAAAGAATTGTCAACTCGTTGCGTAATGATTCACGTATATTTCCCCCCATGTCATATATGTTCCAGATGCTATTTAAAACACATCGGGAATTAGTTTAATATGTTCTGTCTTACTTTATAAAAAACATATCTAGGGTATATTTTAGATGCAAGACATTTGTAAAATCAAATATTATTCCCGAGGGATTCTTTGATCGAAGTACCTGATGTCATACGCGCAGTCTGATTGGCATGTCGTATTTTCGCTTTCTTTCGATTTTTGTATAAAAAAGCAGTAATTAGCTGGAATCCGTTTTTTATTTTTGTTATTGATTAACTGCATATCAAATATTAAGAATGGATGATATTACTTATCTTTTCTCTCGAAGAATTGGTAATTAAAATCGTAATAACGTTCAGAGAACCACCCTCAATGACACCCTCATATCAGAGCGCCGTCAAGTATGTCCGAAGCTGCATTATATTGAAGTTTGATTTACTAACTGACACCTAATAGTCTGTGTAATGAGTAGCTGCAGTGCAATCTTGCCTTTGTTTGTTCATGGCTTTCATTTTATTTATAATTACATACCTGGCGTTAGGATGCAGCGACTTCATTTTGACCAGTTCCTCCTCGTTATCAAATGCAATCAAATCGACGCCCCTCGCTTGTGCATATCTGATGTCAGTGGGATGTTTGACGCTGTGGGAGTACACAATCCGGGTTGGTCCCAGTCCCATATCAAGAATAGTCCCGATTTCACCCTGAAAATACCCAAACAGTCGATCTTCGGGATTTGAAGATGATCATTGAAATTACCATTTCAGTAACTTGGGTGAATAATTTATTTTCTTTATTTTGGCATGTTATCAATTAGACCATGCCATTGGAGGATGATCTAACTTTATTGGTTAAAAAATAAATTTGAAGTAGTCGATAACCATATCTGACTGTATCACTACACTGAATGTATGCACAAGAAAAAGAGTCCATTTTAGTCATGGAAGAATGGATATAAACCTATTCTGTCTATATATATTGAGGTTATTCATCGTTGAATATTGACAGTAGCGGGTGACCTCGCCTAGGTGAACACTACCAAGCTGACTGTCGTTCATTTCCCGATGAACGTCAGTATGTCACGTGATTACGATGTCAATCAGCGAAGACATACATGTACAGAACTACTTTACGGGAATTCCTCAATGTCTTAACATAACATTAAAAATCGTTAGGGAAAACTGACGACATTGATTCAGGCTATGAATGATGCAGACTTCCGGGCCAGACAGAACATGTTATGTCGGGTCACCGAAATGAAGCGTCCATTCGAAGCTATGACAGAGAATGCTCGACTTACTCGTACCAAAAGAAATCACTGAGCTCCACACTGTCGTGTATATTGCTTTGAGAAAGCCAACCGCGCCTCCTCAAGCGGTAATCCCCGTCATCAGCAGCTGTAGTATGACTCAGACACACACCAAAAGTTCACAGAAAGTTAATATCAACCCATTTTCATCAGCCGGGTCTGGATTTCTTTCAAACGCTAACTTTATCTGGGTGCTCATTTCAAGTGAATGACATTGCTGTAGCCGCCATTTTCTGCCGTTTGTAAAACCTAGGGATGTCACTCCAAATGAAATGATAAGGACAGATGATGTCACGACATCACGAATCTATGCGTTGATACAGTTCACTTCAAATAATTAAAGGTTGTGTTTAATGGTGTTTTTGTTATGATTTGTATATGTCAATATAAGGATCGAAGTTGTATTTGTTGACGTTCATCAGCTGATGAAGACAGTGCCTCACGTGAGCAGATTTATGATGAACGTCAACAAATACAACTTCAATCCTAAATTGTACACTGCTAAATGTTACTTTTACCAGTTTTTGTCAACGATGAACCATCTCAAAAGCAGACAACTAAAATTACATGCACATTGATTATCCCCACATTCATGGAAAGAGCGATCACGAGACCATAACCCTACCCTGCTGGCACAGTCGAATGAGGCACCGAGGTCAGCTAAGAGAGAGAGGATCTGAGGGTTGCTGTTACTCTTGACAGCTGAAACACAGACATTGATCAGCATGTCTATGGTCGATTTTTTTAACAGTAGTTCAAATCGTCCTCAAGAGTTATATTCGTATTGTGTTGCAATGACAAATATTATGTGCCATTATAATTATTTTGCACATTACTTGGCTCTGTGATGAGATCTGTTGTCAGAGGACAGACCTCAAGGCAATATTCGTCAATGGTGAAAAGGACAATTTCAATTTCAGTTTGTCAGATGAAAGTTTTGCGCAACATTGCCAACAATAGCTAACAGTTAGTAAAGATGCCTACAAAACCCCGCGATGTTGAATATTCTCTATTAATTCAGAACTGGTGTTAAAAAGCACCAGGAAGATGAGCTCAAACAAAACGAGAGAGCATAACCTTTCGCTTTGGCTGTGCCTTTCACTGTAGTAGTCTCTCTCCACCACAGAAGTATAATTAAATAAAGCGACAAAACCCTTAACATATCCAGAGAAATCTCTGCATAAAGCAGTCAGAAATTGACGTCTTAAAAGAATTCACTTATTTCTTGAAATGACGACTTAGCCACCACCTAATAAAACAAAATCGTGAAATTGGAATGCGTCTTAAAGAAACACACACAAACATCCTAGTACATTTTTCAAAGAATGAAAAAGTTGTTGGGCAAGACCAACAACATTAGCACCGCTGTCTATAATCGGAGCAAAACTAGACAGGTGTTGTACGACATGCACAACCACTTTTTTCCTGAATGCCCCCAAACTGTACCTCTAGCTACCTTAATAACAAAGCTTTAAGCGTTCCTATTATAATATTATAATAGAACACAACTATTATCACAACTTTGAAACAGAAAGTCCTCTGCCTATAACTAGCTTAAATAACAAAGTGATATCGCTTCCGGTTTGGGAACACACCAGAAACCTATGATTGTTGGTTCGAATCCCGGTTCGGCCCGATTATGTTTCTAGGCTTGTCAGCACCATACCCGTGCTCGTGGGTTTCACCGTTACAAGTGATAAACTTCTGAGACCTGCATCACTTCGGGCTTTCCTCCCACATTAAGCTGACATGCCGCGATATAACTAGGATACTGTTAAAAGCGGCGTTAAACACAACTCACTCACTCACTCACTCCGGTTTGGAAAAACCAACGTGGTCAGCGGCCTATGACAATTGACGCACACATCCTTTTATCACGTCCCTGGCGTGTTCAATGCACGCTGAGCATGGGCATAGTCATCCTGAAAGACTAAAACGGCGATCCACACTCCCTGCAAACAAGGCAACGAAGGATGTCAGTATGTTGTCCTGATGGTCCTCTGACCCTTCCGTGCACAATACGAAGTGTTGTCAGCTGCGTCATAGTGATGCCACCCCACATCATATCCGCTCCACCAACAAATCTGTCATGAAGTCAAGATGAGACAGGCTTCACGTTCATTTCGACGTCGCCACACCTCTCAAGGACTTGCATAGTGAATCGGCACTCATCTGAAAGCATGACACGTGACCAGCGACCAGTTTGGACGTTGTGTGCATTATTGACATTTGTTGACAAAATGACGATTTATGACGGGCGCACACAACAAATGAGCTGCATGTAGACGAATTCTAATCATCTGACCGTCGCTCGTTCTCCAGTAGCCTGATGAAAGTTTGTGCAATAATTTTGAATTTCGATATTGAACCCAACTTCACCTCGTCTTTGGAATCGATACCCCATACCAGCGAGTCAATCATTTGCTGCACAGATGTCAATCACACGTGCATGCACGTCGGTGTATCAGTGAAATTATTTTGAATTTCGATATTGAACCCAACTTCACCTCGCCTTTGGAATCGATACCCCATACCAGCGAGTCAATCATTTGCTGCACAGCCGTCAATCACACGTGCATGCACGTCGGTGTATCAGTGAAATTATTTTGAATTACGATGTTTGGCCCCTTTTCACCTTTTGAATCGATATGGCACATCAGCGAGTACATACGTAGTCTTCACATCCGTCTACAACGTTTACATACATTGTCAATTCAGCCACTTTCCTTTGTTCAGCATGTCTTTCGCATTGTGCTTGATAATCCATTTGGATACGCACAACCTAACGTGCTTTAGCTTATAAGGAATAGAAAGATGTTTCGCCTGTGATATGTAGGAGAACCATCATTAAAAATGTATAAGTCGTTAGTTAAGAAAAAATCCTCCAGTAATTTCCCTTAGTTATTCGTGTCAGTACTACCGGTACCCCAAGTGGGTTATGACCATTCAGATCTCACATGATGACACATGGTTTAGGGAGCAAAGAAAACGAAGTAAAAACAATATTTAATGTTACCCGTACTGCAACAGTCTGCAGAGCGGTATTGAGAGGGACTGTGAATGATGCCCCGCCTCACCATAAGAGGAGATGCCTCGACATGAATTTCGTGCACTGAGACAACAATCTCAGCATTTGCGAAATGATATGCTTGGAGAAGACTACATATTGTTGTCTCTTTGCACTCTCCACAAGCAGTGAGCCGGAACAGAGACAAGTAACAGTCTTGACAGTACCACATATTCCCTGAATAAATTTGGAAATGACGAAGGAGTTGATTTTGAGGGGTTCTCCATCAACGCCTTCAACAACCAGAAATCGTGGCCAAGAGTCAACATTGAGTATAGATGCCTCATCAGAAGACACAACAGTGTCTGTATAAATATGCCTTCTCTTTGATTTTGTACGAGAACCAGTGAACTGTGAGGTAGCCATAATGAATGGAGTGTCAACAAATACAGTGTTGCAGGAGTAACAGGTAACAGACTACAAACACTAGGGCTACAGGGGTGTTTTACACCAGAAACACCTGTCGTTAATAACAGGAGGAATGTCAGGCTGTTAGGCCTATGGCATTGTTCCTATAAAAACACAGAATTCAGTGGTCTGTGTCACCAGATTGGCCCATGAGCCACAGCCTTCTCGCAAAGGACTCTCGGCAAAACTTTAGTTTACATATTCAAGGTCATCATATATTCTGACCCAAACCTGTGTGATATCATATGTCTAAATTATCAAGTATTCCATGCACAGGGCATTGCGTGGCCAGCCAATTCTACCACCCGTGTTGGTGAAGTAAGGGTCGAAGTGGTGAGTTGGGCTAAAGGAACATCTGTTCCTGTCTCCAATGCCCTGAACCACCAGAATCCCGTCCTCCGCCAACCCAGGTGCGCAACCAACGGCAAACGGGTTGACCAATTCGGTCACCTTTTACGACCAGCAATGGGAATTGAGGACACATTCATAGCGACCCCGGGTCCCAACGCGGGGAAGATCAGAAAAGTGACATCTGAATGTGCTTTCAAATCATGCAATTTCGAAAAGTTTAACACCTGATATTCGGAGTGACAGTTACGGGCTTTACGATTAAATCCGTAAAAAAATCATGTATCTGTCACTTATTTGTGATAATTTCATCAACATTTGAACAGAAAGACTTTGCATTGCTATGTGAAGTACTGCCATAGAATCTAGGTCATCTGTTAGACATTCCAGAATGTTCTTTTGTTCATGTTTCAAATTTCGAAGGGCGAACTTTGTCAAAATATTTTTCAAAGTGGAGTCACCAGTTTGAAAATTGTCCTGTATTGCTCTTATACTGAATTCTCGTTGGTCATTTCATTGGTCGGTCAAAGTTTGAAAACGGTGGTTCTGAAAAGACCCGTAATGAAATGTCCTCAGATCTGTGTTGTGATATTCTGATATTAAGAAATTGTTTCACCATATTATTATTTTGTTTGCATACTCTAAAACAATGTTTGACATAAAATAAAATAAATGTCAACATTACTTGGTAATTGTATTCAACATACCAAAGTGTGGTTCCACCCTTGGCAGGTGCTTGAGCCATCTGTCCATTTTCAGCATTACATCACCTAGGTCAATGGCATAGAAGGCAGCACCAAATTGTTTATCCTTGTGATGAAAGACAAATAAACACGTACATGCAAATGTTTATGCACCAATAGTTGGATTAAATGAAGTAAAAAGTGATCCAAAAAAATTCCATTACCGTAAGAAATGTCATAAGCCTGTGTTTTATGATTCATATCAGATATTGATGATCTCAGGTGTTCCTGACAAGGTGAAGTGTGTGTATGGGGTGGGGTGGGGTGGGGTTGGGTGGGTGGGGTGTGTGTATGGTGGTGGGGTGGGATGGGTGTATGGTGGTGGGGCATGAGCAAATGTTTCATAAACTGGGGGGTCAGCAAACTATCTCATTGCCCCATGTCATACATGCCCAGTCCCAGTGAGGGTGCCAACTTGTGCAATAGTGTTTTGCTGAGCCAGATCCTTGGCGCTGCGGGGTTAATGACGTTATATGAGAGCACATCTATCAGCATACATCAATGTGAAAACAAATATTTCACAAGATGGAAACATGTCTGATTATCTTGTTTTAGTTCTGGTAATATGGTCACATATAAAAAAATGTAAACTTGTAAAAAAATACAAATAAACTCACATTTATCACATTTCAAACCGTTGCAAATTTTGAAACTTGTCAGAAATTCCTTTATGATTCGTTAGCATCACAGCTGTGCTCGTAGGATAACCGATGTGGTTACCAAATCTCAGTCACTGTGACATAACTGAAATACTTTTGAACACGGGCACGCTCATTTTGGTTTCTTTTATGACATACAGTTTTTGAAATAAAATATAGAGCTTTCCTTGAGTATCCCTTCCATAATCTTACCGTGTCACAAGTCGTAAGGGCCAGATGTTATGTGGCAGTAGATTTAGTAAGTCTGTAACCGATATTGCTATTTCAAGCGCTCTTAAACATACTTCTTTATGCAAATTGTGGGAACTAACGCTAAGGCAGGACATGTTTAGTCTTATCGCAACTATTGGTGTCATCACTGATTTTGAGTGATACATTCGAATATTTGTCACCGCTATTTTCTCTTTTACCCACAAGGGGCGGTCGGGTTGCCTAGTGGTTAAAGCGTTCGCTCGTCACGCTGAAGACCCGGGTTCGATTCCCGACATAGGTACAATGTGTGAAGCTCATTTCTGGCGTCCCCCGCCGTGTTATTGCTGGAATATTGCTAAAAGTGGCGTAAAACCATACTCACTCACTCACTCTTTTACGCACAGGGGATTCTGTTTCGGTGGATAACCGGGAGATTAGATTTAAATTTAAACTATAAGTCTGGAGGTTATCAATTAAAATAGATTTACCCACAAAAATTCTTAAAAAATAAAATTGTACCTCAGATTGTTGAAGAAAAAGATATATTGTCTGCTACAAAACTTACATTGTGTCAAGGTGTGATATAATTATGCTTCAGACTGTTGAAGAGAAAGAAATTGTGTGCTACAAAAGCAAGGTGTTTGATTAAGAAAATATATAGGATCATAGTTTTAATTAGAAAATTATCTGGTTCTACAGCTGCTGACAAAATATGACACAGTATGACAAAACAATAAGTATGGGTTAATGAAGACCAGTCACGGAGTAGCAGATTAAAGTAACTACTACTAGTAGTACTAGATGCTTCACTGTGGTTTTCATTTCATCAAAAACATGAAGCACACATTATACAAAGCAGAGATTGTAGTACCTTTTTCCTTTCTTGTGTATTAATCTTGTTGATGATGTCTCTGATATCTTCACAATCTTCGTACAGGATCACACGGTCCATGCTTCGACTGGTAGATCGTTTCTTTATGTAAAACCACTGGTTGGAACAGAACAGTCCGAGTGCGCCTTCCGTTACAGACTGGCGTATGACGTTCCAGAAATCTAACAAAAGTGAAAGCTGGAAACTGTATTTGATCACAATTAACAGACAAACAGATTTGATTCAGATATTGACCCTATGAGGTATGGCAGAGGTATGTAACGTTGTGCTTACATGGCTTGAAGCTATATATGTATGTTCCAATACTTACAGCCTTGTAACTGCTGTCGCTCTACGGTTGGTATCAGTTTAAGAGCATGTAATGCGATCTCTGAGGTTAAAATGCATTTATGAGTAGTCCCGAGCAGTGTGACAGCCAATGTTCTTCCAGTGTGAATCCGTGCTTGAAATTGTGTTTCCCTGGCTCTTTGGCTATTGGCGCCGAGGAAGAACCTGGATTATTGGGGATGGGTTGTTGGTGGGGTTTGGGGTGGCTTTTTTGTGACAGGTAGGAGGAGCTTTGTCATCGTTGTGGTATTCACATCAACAAATATGTCGAATGCATTTGTAAGTTTTTCTGTGTTTCGCCGCAGATGTCCAGGTTGACAGAAATATGTGTTCCTTTCTAGTTATGTACTTGTACACAGATTCGAGTGTTACAGAAATACAAAGGAGTGAGTGAGTTGAGTTTAACGCCGCTTTTAACAGTATTCCAGTTTTATCACGGCGTGTCAGCTTCATGTGGAAAGAAAGCCCGAAGTGATGCAGGCCCGAGACGTTTACCACTTCGGTGAAACCCACGAGCACGGGTATGGTGCTGACAAACCTAGAATCATAATCGGGGCGAACCGGGATTCGAACCCACAATCATAGGTTTCTGGCGTGCCCAAGGGACGCAACTCTTCACAGCGAATCGCGGCGCCTTAGACGCCTGGGCCACACGTTCCCCCGAATACAAAGGAAACCTCTTCGGCTTATTGAGATATCACATATACAAAATTGTAAGGATCTACTGACATGAATTATGGTACTTCCACTTTCAGGTCGCCATTTAAGATGTGTACTTTGTGAGTGATGATTATTAATGTATACTTCTTAAAGAAAAAGTACATTCGATTCCAAACCATATAAGACATAGTATATTCTAAGATAACAACAATACATATTGATGAAATACACAGTATAAACCATATGTTTATATTGAAATGTTATCCTCGTCCCATCGAAAAACAAAGGAGGACAGACAAATGTTGTATGTGGATCCTACCTGAATTGTGATGAAAGCTTTTTAGGTAGCCTCAGGTATTTGAACAGATTTCTTATCAAATATATTCAATTTCAGGCGTCAGATACGCCTCGTGACCTATGTTTGGCGTTAGGGGGTTTCTACAACAACTTGTTTCATTACTTGATACATGAGACCATTTCAGCAGTCAAAGAAAACATCCCGGGTTGTTTTCCACATGTGAACCACCCCGTGGCATTTCGGGTTAGAAATAGATCGGATTGACAGTAAGAAATAGATCGGATGGGTGGCTTGGTTGATTGGGCGGCAGCCTACACTGACAAAGTGGATTGCTGGATTATCTTGTCCAGTCTTCATTATGTCCAGGCCGCCGCCGTACAGCTGGAATATTGATGAATGTGGCGTTTAGCAGGAGAAAAAAAAAGATTTTGTATTGGTCCGTCAGGTTTGTAATGAAAATAAGTATTAATTAACAACAAACAACATGTACCTTTGACGCTTTGCGTATTTACAATTAGTACAATCGTGGGCGAAACGATAACTGATATATACAACAAAAACGTAATTAGCAAAATGAACACATTACTTCACAACGTTTCATGCATCGATTGATTGCCTAGTTTTGCAATAATGCTTGGCTAATCGGCTGGAAGAATTTTTTTAGCGAGGAACATGCCTATAACAGCGATAATGTACTTTTATGTCTCGCACAATCATCTAAATGATAATTGTTGTTTCCCCTGCATATCATTGTGAGGTGGAGGAAGGTCAGCATGTCCATCTGTCTTTCCGGTTCATTACCGGAGAGGAAGACAAAAGCCGTTTACAATAATTCCTTCATGAAACAACGAACACACGTTGCACGTTAACTGTGTTTCCACATTATATCACCATAGATGTATCTGAACTGTAAATAAAAGCGAAAGAAAAGCCTTTACATATTCATCAGAAATTTCGACTGTACGATTCCGACTTTATCATGAGCAGGTGTTTGTGAATCACTATCAAGAGGTGATGACACCAGGTGTTCGCAAAATGTTGAGAGTATCATGCCCCACCGGTGGCACTCGTCACAAACACATGCAAAGGCAAGTCAATTGTTCACCGGATTATCGTTCGCCACTGACGCGTCAAATTGGGAAATGAGCTCCACATGTACACCAAAAAAATTTTTTAAAGCTTTACTGAGGCCTTGTAATATCATCTTCTTACCACTGAACCAATAAAGCTGAAACGTCACTTGCTTGTTCCCGTCATGGATGACGCTTGAATGTGTTCGAGATGCTCGTTTGTGTGCATTACACACACGCTCATTGCATTGTATTTGGAAAGTGATTAGTTGTCAGGAATGTAGTACCATCCAATCTAAGCAGTCGTCAGGAAGTTACTATTTGCAGATGCGTATGTGGTGTATAAACTTTCGGAATCGAAGAGACTAGTCCCGCATTGTATAGAGCCTTACGGCATTGTCTGGAAAGTTCTTGAAGCCATTCAGACTGTAAATATAGTTGGACAGGAGCGTACCTGCAGCTGTCTCTTGCCCGCCTTCATGTGAGGATCGCTCATCATCCCTGATCAAACAGATGGCGAACTGACACATTTTCCTCGTGAGGAGATAAGACAGTAGTAATCTCGTTAATCCATTCACACATTTATTGAAGACAGGAATTACATTAAGAGCGTATTTTGGCGTTAGAACTATAAACATGTTTTAATGTATCACTATGAAACTTTGTGCAGCAACTGGTGTGTGAGTTGGCTTTTAACACAGCTTTGAACATTATTCCAGTTATATCACGGCGTGTCAGCTTAATGTGGGAGGTCTTTTCTTCATATTTCCTGAGCAAAATGGAAGCAAGTTCATCCTGAGCACATTTTGGAGTAATTTGTCATTTATTTCTTTGAACTAAAACATCCACGAAGATCCGGGTTAGATTAGGTCTTCAGCAACCCATGCCTGCTGTACAAGGCGACTTTGCTTGTCTTAAGAGGCGACTGACGGGATCGGGTGGTCAGGCTCGCTGACTTGGTTGATGAATGTCATCGTATCCAAAATGGGTGGATCGATGGATGGATCGTCTGGTCAAGACTATTTCGATTATTTACAGAGCACCTTCATATAGCTGGAATATTGCTGAGTGCGGAGTTAAACAACAATCAATCAATCAATCAATCAATCTTTGAACTAAAAACAGGCAGAAGCCACGAAAACAAACAAAAATATGGTTCCAGAAAGTACATGTTAAGACTGCTGGTTGAGGTGTTGCAAACGGATTAACAAAATTGGCAAATTGGCGTTTGAGAATATATCAAATTAAACATACATTTGTCCATCATTCGGTCTGAAATAGTTATGGTTATACAAATTTTATTTATGTATTCCATATTCAGTTTACTAACAGTTACCGAGCACTTTCTTACATTCTGACAAAGAGGAATTAACATCGAACGATTGGAGGTATTAATATTGTTGCTTACTTCCGATTGTTGTTTGCTTGCGATTGTATCTTGTTTGATTTCACAGACCTGTCGGTTGAAATTAGATCTTTGAGAGATGAAATTAAAGCTGTTAACAACAAATGTAACCTGCCTCACACAAAGTTCTCTGAGCTGAAATCATCCGTCGATGAAATGAAACAGAACCACGATGTTATGTACGCTGATGTGGATGCGGTAGCCGACAAACTAGATAGCATGGAGGACAAAATCTTGTGAGAGCACATCGTCTCGGTAAGACACAGCAAACCACCAACACACCACGCCCCGTGATTGCCAAACTACGTGAGAGTGACGACAAATTTGAGATACTGAGGGCGAGAGCCACCCTGAAGGACGCTGGGTATGGAGTGTCAAGCGATTTGACCAGACGCCAACGACAACAGTTGAAAGATCTCAAAGACACAGGGATGCGCGGTTATTCCAAGAATGGCCGGCTGATTACGTAATCTATATTTGAAAGGACTGCGACAGATCCAATTGATTCTCGTCGAAAGACAAGATCAGGCGCCAGGAACAAAACTACTTGAGGACTCGGCCCGGCCCCGGTCAATTGTTCACAGGAGCCAAATGAACGACGCACCGGTATCAACCTCACTCATGAAATTGATAACACTCTGTGCCGATTTCTCTGCTGGAATGTGAATGGTTTATCCAGTAAACTCTCAAATAATGACTTTATTTCATATCTACAAACCTTTGACTTTCTTTGTCTATCGGAAACCTTTTAGGATAACGTAGACTATGACTGGTTACCTGGATATAAAATTTTACTCTCCGTCGGTGAAATTGTCAGGTCATGGCAGGAATAGTGGTGGAGTTTGCTTTGCTGTTAGATATGAATTTCAACAGTTTTGTGTGTTACGTCAAAATGATATTGACAATCTTTTGACCATAGAAATTAAGAAAACTCCCTTCGGTTTACCAAAAGATATTCTGATCTTCTGTTTATATATTCCCCCTGAAAACTCAACGCATTACGTGAAAAATCCAAACGCCTGCTTATTTGATAAAATTGATAACTTTCTTCTCGACCTATCAGAGTACCTATCTGATTTCTTTATATTACTGTGTGGGGATTTCAATTCTCGAACAGGTACTGAGAATTACCCTCCAGAACCTGAATTAAATCACGGTGATCCAGATATATTTCCTGAAGACGATCCTTGTGACATTAGTAAACGATCGTCACTTGATGATGTGGTTAACAAATTTGGTCATGAATGGCAGAGTGAATGGCGACAGAAATGGTGAACTAACATGTGTAAGTAGTAATGGCAGTAGCACTGTTGACTATTTTATAGCGTCAGCTGAATTCTTCAGATGTGTTGATTGCCTGACTGTTTGGGAGAGCACAGACTCCGACCACTCTCCTTTAGAACTACAGTGTGCATTTTATAATCCTGTATTGGAACCATTTTCAGAGGATATATGTTCTGACAGTTTTAGATGGAATGAATCTAAAAAACCTGACTTCCTACGATGTCTAAGCAATACTTTTGATGAGGTGTCTGATACCCTGTTTCATACTTTGAGGAGTAATATGCATGATGTGGTCGATCTCTTTATAAACATTCTTTTGGAGTCCGGCAAATGTATGAAACGACGCTCGTGTTCAAATTTAGTTCCTAAAAAGCTGTT